TCGAATTGTCGAATAAATTATTCGCCTGTTAGACACACAATTCCAAATCCTTAGCTTTTATGATTTGTTTTGTAAAATGAACCAAAACATTGAGCAAATGATACTTAAGTAAAGAATGATGCTTCAGGGAACATTTTGAAGTGAAGTACACATTTATTATTTCCTAAAACAATAGAGACAACTTCAACCTCCAAGCGAAGGTAAAGTATAATTTTCAAAAATTCTAGTTTTTTTAGGCCGATTAATTATCCACATACCTGCGTAATTAAGGCCACGATAGTGTAATTTTTAAGTGAATCGTTTACATATGCACGGCTTATCGATACAGTGGAAATAACCGTTATGAATTATTGTAAACCATAACATGTAATTATCTTGCGTTGATTATGATATCGGCAAATATGCATATTTGCTGATAGCCAGTCCCTCTTATAGTTTATCAAATTCGCGAAGAAGCTCGTAAATAGTCGAATAAATTATTCGCTCTAGACATACAAATACAAAGCCTTAACTCTTATTATTTTATTTCTGAAATGCACGAATAATTGTGTAATCTTATATGTAGATTAAATCTATTGGATACGGCTTATCCATACAAGGGATAAAACCGCATTAAATTATTGTTTTACTGTGCACCGTAACATTGATTATTTAATTATGTACTTATCCTGCTGTTGCATATGTACATATCAGTATATATTTCCCAATAGCGCTTAACTTGAAAATTAATATTCAAAGATCAAATTTGCACAAATTCTTGTAAATAGTCAACAAATTATTCGCTCTATTTAGACATTCCAATACAAATCCATACTTTTTATAAAATTCATTCAAACCGTAAAATATCCAACTTCCCTTCAGAACCATGCTTCACGAATTATCCTCACGAAAAAATGTGACAGGGGGTCTGAGTTTTCTGCTGGGGGTCAAAAAAATCTTCCGCGGCCCGACCAAGTCGGACAGCGATCATATGTATCAACCCTATGCTTCAGCGATGCATATAAAATCACATTATGTAATTTTCCCATTTTCTCCTCATCTTGCTCATACATGTGCGGAACGTCACCTTTAAGTCCAGACATATGCAAATAATAGTATTATACATACTTTATGAGTTAGTATTCAAAGACCTCATATAACATTTTATCTGCAATGCGGATTTTGCAAGGCTGCAGAGCAGGGCAAAAACGAGGCCGCGCTGTCCTCTGACTATTTTCAGAATACATTCAAAATTAATTTGTCGATTTAAAAAACTGTGTGTTTCGAATTAGCGAACTTAATGGAAACCTCATTGACGGAACAACACCAAACGAATTCCTAGAAATACAGGTAACCGAAGTGTCGAATAAATTATTCGCCTACTAGACATACAAATCCACATCCTAACTATTATGATATATTTAATAAAATGAATACGAATATTGCCCAAATACATGTGTACGTGCAGAATAGTATAATTTTTGATGAATTCTTGTAGATATGTCGGCTTATCGATACAATTGATATAACCGTTATGAATTATGGGGCATTAAATGTGACATTTAATAATGTTTGCATAGGATCCGATGTATATTTTTCCATAGTCAGTCTCTCTTGTAATTTATAATCAAAGATCAAATGTACACGCGTAGAAGCTGGTAAATAGTCGAATAAATTCTTCGCTCTAGACATGCTCATACACATCCTTAATTTTTAGATTTCGAAAATGTATGTATTGCTGATGAAATGGGTAAAAAAATTTGTAATTTGAGATTAAATTTCTTGAACACGGCTTTCCAATACAAATGATAAAACCGCTTTAAATTATTGTGTTCACACTATAAAATTTACTGTATAATAATGTGCATACTGTTGTGTGCATGATTTATGTATTAGCAAATGCCCCGTTATTTTAAAATTTCTATCCAAAAATCAAATTTTCGCGAAAGCTGGTACATAAATAGTCGAACAAATTCTTTGCTCTAGACATGCAAATATGCATCCTTAACTTTAATGATTTAGTGTCTGAAACGTATAAATTGGTGATGCAATGGGCAAACAATTGTGTGAACCTAGATTTAATTTCTTGAATACGGCTTATCCATACAATTGATAAAACCGCGTTAAATTATTATATGTTTGCGCAAGATAACATTTACTACAAAATAATGTGCATATTGTTGTGCGTATAATTTATATATATACGAGCAAAAAACCCGTCAGTTTAAAATTTCTATCTAAAGATCATATTTGCGCAAAATAGTCGAACAAATTATTCGCTCTAGACATACAAATACACGGCCTTAATTTATAACTGGTTTTCTAGAACGAACATTATCGGTGATGAAATTGTGTAATTTTCTATTAAACTTTTTATCTACATAAGTTAATGGCATATCGATACAACTGATATAACCGATAAAGATAGGTTCTGGGACTGGTACTGGGATCAAAATTGGTACGGTCGTGATATCCCAATAAATACTACGCCAACTATAACAAGTTTGCCGTAATACAATATTTCGCTGTCGCTAACATGGGGGAAACAATTTCTCCTGTAATGAATGTTTTAATTTCCATCTATGAAAATCAACCAGACCTGTGTGGTACTCTTGAAGTATCCAACGTTTTCAGGCTCATGTACATATTTAGACTTATTTTTTTGATGATCAAATACATTTATGATCCATCAAATAATCTTAAAAATAAGCATTATAAATAGTGACCAAAGTTGAATTACGCTGTGCAAAATTGTACGAATAGCTCTGAAAAAATGAAATATTTGTAAAGCTTTTCAATCTAAACGACAGCTCAGTACATGCGGGATATATCAATGCACTTGTCACACCTATTCATCCCTAATTCAACTTGGTGTATGTCGTTTCTTAAACAATTTTTCTTAAGAAATATATGTAATTTGTAGTTATATCCCACAAAAACAATACGGTCGTCGATGCGGGCGTTTTGGGAGGTAAATTCCTTTAGACAGCTAAGAAATTATGGATAATCTTCCGATCGGATCGTCTTATCCGAGATTATCCAATCATTTATGTATTTTAACCAAAATTCGATCAAGTGCGATCCGGAAATCGGATCAGATTGGGGTATAAAAAATTTGACGGATCCGATATTTTGCAACGGATCCATCACCCTAGACGGAATTATTTCAAATTTGTGCAAAGACTATGTGTAGTGCAAAAAAACAAAATATAAAATTTGCTCTTGCATTTTCGTTAATTTTTCATAAGAATTTTGTTGAAATTTTAAAAGTACAGAAATTTTGGCCTTGCTTTGAATTTTCTAGGGATTTCATTCTATCAAGAATTTGGAAACGAGTACATTTTTTAACATAGTAGTTTTAGTTTGTTGGCTGGTGATAGAGAGTAAAAATATTGGAAGAAAGGAAAAAATTGAATTGTTTTCTGAATAACATGTGACTATTTATGATAATTGCTGAAATCCACTTCCTGAAAAACTCGAGCCAGACACTTGGGACAATGCACTTCAGGAAATTCAGATGTTCGGAATTTATTATTTCCGAAAACGTGGCAATTGTGGACAGGAAGTATAAATACTCGTACACGATATATATAATGCAACACCTAATAAACCTTGCTGCTTTGTTGATTGCTTCAAAATCTGGGTGTTCGATGCAAACTCTGGATTAGGATTCCGGTAAAAATTGTTAAAATGAAAATTGCACTGTTAAATTATTCATTTTGCTCAAATTATTTAAAAGATTTAAAGATTAAAAGCCAATAACTCAAGTTTTTCTTCAATTTCTAATGCAAAATTGTTAGAATTGCATGAAATGTATGATTTTCAAAAGTATGGAAGATTTCAATTTTACAGGTTTTAAATTGAATTATTTAGATAAAAGACAGGTTATGAGATTGCAATATATTTATGTAGTTATGTAATTTCAATTAAAAGTCTGGTGGATTAAAAATAACCCATTTTGTTAACCACTGTGGACAAGGATCATTAACTAATAAAACATCGGCGATACACTCTAAAAAACCCGGTAACTAAGTTATTACCAGGCGGAGTATGTATGTGACTCTACCGCGTGGTAATTAATTTATTATTGAGTGGTAGACATTTTGTTATCAAACCGGTAATAACCCCGGTCGCGAAATTTGAAAATATTACCAGTTGGTAATTAATTTTCTACCACTAAATAATAAATTAATTACCACGCGGTAGAGTCACATATGTAGATACTCCGCCTGGTAATAACTTAGTTACCGGGTTTCTTAGAGCGTATAGAATCTAGAAAAGGTAGACTCGATTCCAGAGGATCTTTCGTCTCAATATGTCTCACGAGCTAGATGAAAGATTACGTTAATTACATACATTCGTAATTAGACAATTTTTCTTAATTAATATGCAACTTGAAGATATGCATATCCCACAACGACACAACAGTCGTCGGTATGAGTGATTTTTCTGGAACCAAATTTCTTTTGACAAGGATGAAAGTATTTACAACTGGGGAAACAATAGTTGCCAAAGAATTTAAAACGCTCTTGCATTTTTTTGTCAATAAATATTTGTAAGTGCAGAAATCTTAATTTTTTAACTTCTTAAAATTGTTTTCCGTCAAGTTCAAATTATGTCTATAATAGAAAATGTAGTAAAAACTTATCGAAAAGTTACTCAAAAAATTCGAGGGAGGGCAAATTTTACTGCAAAATAATTTTATAAATTAACTTCTGCTTTATTTGAGCAAATCTAAACGATTTTAAGACAAAGGTCGAAATTGCCAAAAAATTGGTACATTTCTCAAAAACTTGCTACCGCCCATAATATTCTGATGGATTAGTGATCTACCTAACATTACGCAAATTTAAGGTTGTAATACGACAAAATCGGAGAAGATCGCTATCTAATTGTATACCTCTGTGTACTAGTAATTATGCATAATTTGTGCATAAATATTTGCATCCGTACATGTACATATTTCATATTTTTAGGATAGATTAAGCAAAAAAAGATAAAAATGGGCGACGAGAATTTACTTGGTGTCGAATTAACTGGAGAATGTGTGATCTTGAACTTCATGCTTCAGCAGGGGCGGTGCAAAGATGATGGTGACGATAGTGGCGAAGACTGGTTGTGGTGATGGTGGTTGATACATTTTGTGGTGAAGGTCCTTTATGTCCAAAATGTCCCTTAGCCTGTCCTGGAGCCCAGGGTTCCTTAAAATCTGTGGAATAGATAAACAATTAAAATGTTATGAAAATTGCATATACAAAAATTGCGACTAATTCACACAGTAAATTATAAGAAAATGTTTGAAAAGTGTAAAATTTCATTTTACAAAATTATGATTAAAGTAGGAATAAATAGACCTTTAAAATTTAACAGGGAAATTATGGTGTATAAAAATTATGGAAAATTCACACATTCAACTGAAAAAAAATATATTGTAAAGTATGAAATTTTCAAATTTCATGTTACAAAATTCTGTCCAAAGTTGGAATAAATGGACCTTTAAAATTTGACAGAGAAATTATGGTGTACAAAAATTGTGATTAATTTATATAGTCAATTGTTACAAAATTTTTGAAAAGTATATAATTTTGAAATTTTAAAATTTCATTATACAAAATTGTGGCCAAAGTTGTAGGCGAGAAACAAGTATAGTGAAAAACACGCACATACTTTAAGAATGTCCCTTCATTTAGAGTGGGAATGTATCCTTTGTTAAACTTGGGTAAGTGGAACCCTTTATTAATTGGACTCCATTTTTGCCACGTGTGACAAATTTCACGGCGTTCCTACGCCGTGAAAACGTGGTGGGCACAAATAACTTCATGAAGGTGAAAGTCTTTGATTTCCTGGAATATAAAAAAATGCAATGAATTTATGTATATCGAAATTTTAGTGGGCTTCACAATTTTGAAAATTTCATTTTTTTAAATTATGGATTTAAACTAATTTTAATGTTTAATTTTTCATGTTAATATATTTATAATTGTTACATAGTGAGATCAGGGGAAGTCGCAGTAATTCAACTTGAATTTAAATATGTGTATAAAATGTTGCTAATTAAACTAAAAATAAAGTATTAAGGTTGGTCGAAATATTTCGCAATTTATATCAGTAAATTACACGAATAACAAAATTTTAAAACTTAAAAAAGTCACAATATATCTTACTTTACCGAGTAAATTTTCAATAAAAAAACTTATGTTTTTAAATTTATATACAAAGTAAGATTTCACAATCACCAAAATTATTGGTTATTAATCCCCAAGAAGAAATTACAATTTGATTATTTACTTACTTTTCTGACGAATTGCTACAGAAATTATGTATTGTTTCCGGTCCAGTTTAGAATTTCGAAAATTTATTTTAAACAGATTAAGTGGTCGAACTCGTTAATATCGGCGAACGTGGATGAAATTATTTGATTTCTTTAAACAAGTTAAATTGAAAAAATTTAGTTTAATACACTTGTATGAAGAGTTTAATTGTTCAAGTAATATTTTCAAGCAGGAGATTATGCTGGCGAAGATTGTAATGTGGATTAAAGGACAATGTCGGGTCGTTTTATATGAAGGGCATCGTCCCTCCAGGAGGGTACTCACACAAAGGGAAGCCCAACGTTACTGAAAATAGAGGGATAAATTTAACTGCAGAGCTCAACTTCTCCGAAGGACGAGTCCACTCTCGTATCAAGCCGGCTCTATTAAGCCCGTCCTGTTCATGAATTACGTCAAAATATGGTTAGTTTAAATAATTTTGGGAAAAATTGTGTAAAATAATGTTCTATTTTTGGATAATGAAATTTTATCACTGAGGAAAGTATAGGGTGGTTAAAATGCCAAAATGGAAAATTTTTGAGTTTTTGAAAATTTTCGATAGGAAAAATTCGTAAATTTCCAGTAGTTCTCGAAATTTTTTCTCTGAAATTCAACATTTTAAGAATTTTGTCTTCAGTGTTCGATCAGTTTTGATTCAAATTAATAAAAATGTCAATCCCAAATCTTATTGCAATGGAGATTTAGGGACTTTCCTTTATTTTCCTGTCAAATTTTCCAGTGTAGCGTGACATTTAACCCACTCTGTCGATATGAAAGTCAAAAACCAAGCATGCAACACACTGATATCATTATTTTAAAAAATAAGTAATTTTATTATACAATATAAGATTTGCTTGCATGAAGGTATTTTTTTAATCTTGTCATAAATATTTTAGTCTTTTAATGTTTTAGTTTTTACCTACGTCCATACATATTTTCCGTTGTCAACAAAACGTTTGCATAATCGTTACCCAAAAATAGAGTACATACTCTCCATTTTTCGTATTGTTTTACGAATGTTTATCCTCCAAAGAATTTTCCACTGATTTTTGATGACGTAATGATTGGACGGCAGCTCTCGTATACTTGCGTACTTTAAGAGCGCATGGTTTAGATGGATTTATCCCATCATACATACGTATCACTTGCGATCCACACCGTGTTAATCGCATAAACATGAGGAAATTAAGTATCTGATGTACATACATTCATCGGAAAATGGTATTGAATCATCTCTGAATTGAGTGCACATTCACGTGGATGGTAATAAACATGTACAGGCACAGCGCATATTATACATATTTATTATGAAGTTTACCGTTGTGGTAATGAAAATTTACTGTTCGGAAACAAGCTATTATGAAACAGGGACAGACATATGTACATACGCAAATATTTATGTACAAGAACGAATATGTGACTTCGCTACATTATTAACACTGCAGAAATGTATTTATTGTGTGTCTGAGTTTACTAATTTAAACAAGCTTAGCTCTTCCATGCAGAAATTTAAGAATTTACATACCGTAAAAACTCAAATAGTAGCCGGGGGCTACTATTTATAAAATTGGTGGCTAGGACCCGGCTACTATTTGAGCAAGGCTACTATTTGGGCAAGGTCACTATTTATAAAACTATGAAGAGAGACACGGCTAGTATTTGCATACGACTATTATTTTTATTTCCTGAATCAAACTCAAGTTAAATTTTAATAACAACGTCAATTTTGCCCTTAGAGTCGTAGTTCATATTATTCTGCTCAACCTGCTCTTCAATGATTTTTTCGATGAGATAAATTCGTGTTTTGTCATCAACCCATCGTTTGGATAGTGTGTAATTGCGATTATATTGAATTATAATTTAATTAGCTTAATGAATTGTCAAGAAGTGTGGTTGTATGGAAATAGAGATGCGTCTATTCGACTAAGGCTACTATTTTGGCAAGGCTACTATTTGAGCACGGTCACTATTTACAAAATTATGAAAATAGACCCGGCTACTATTTGAGCACGGCTACTATTTGAGCAACGGCTACTATTTGAGTTTTTACGGTACGTATGTATGCATTTGGGCAAGCAGAACCTGATTTTTCTAGCAATTTGTTCGGACATTTGTGCATTAAATACCTAGGTATACCTAGGTATGACATAGCCACACATAAATATGCAAATTACAACTGGCATGGTAAATACATATTTTAAATACATTTTATGTATGTATGTACCTTGCAAATTTACCGAGTACACATGTGCCTATGCTACCACGTGGTGTAAATTAAGTGTGTTTTCTCAGTAAAAGCACGAACTTTTTGTTGAAATATTTGTCCACATGATGTCTAATCTATGCATAACAAATATTTTTACCTTTTTGGAAACCAAATCACCCTTAAATTTTGTATCAAGTAAAATATACTAAACCCAGAGTAACTTACGATTAGTTTGACCAAGAACATATTTTACGTTGGGTTTAAATGGTATATGTAGATGTAAAAAGTGTACTTAAGGGCCCGGGGGAAGTTGCTTAGAAATTACGTCAACTTTGACAATAAAATTCAGCAATGCACAAGAGAACACATTTTCCAAATTATGTTTAATTTGTTAATCATATCTTTAGATTTCACTTAATTTTTTTTGAAAATGTGTCCTCTTGTGCAGTGGAGATATTTGGTCATAAAGAGAGCACAAATTGGCTAAGAATCTCAAAATTGATGGCATGAATTGCATTTTGAGTATCCATGGAACAAAAGAAAGCAATTTTTCAAAAACTTGAGGGCAAAGGGATCAAATCAAAGTTTTTGAACGTGAGTTGTGAATGAAATACCTAGCAATAATTGTTGCTAACATAAAATCAAGTAAATCTTCCCCCGGGCCCTTAATGTAAAATTTAGGGTGAGTCTGCTTTTCTAAATGGTAACATTATTTGTAAGAGTGTAGGGTATATAATTCGCTTACCTAAAGGAATATGTATATGTATTTGCAGAGACATAAATGTAAATATGTATATATTCCCCATTCGCACACACTTGAACTTTCACAGAAATTTATAGTTCTGAGAAACTATGCCACTGCCAGTGTCAATGTCCTCCATCAGCTTAATTCGAGGGAATTTGAGACTGGAAGTGGCGTAGTTTCTCAGAATTCTCAATTTTTCTGAAAGTTCAACAGTGTGCGAAAGGAGAGAACGTATGTAAAACGTAGGAAAGAATGTATTTTTATCATTTAACAGAGGTCATTATTTCGAAAAAGGTAAACGACTATGACTGTACATAAATATCATATATTTAAGCTTACTTAATAAAAAAAAAATTATACTAACAATGCGATAATGTGAAGTGTAACTCTCCGATTTGGTCGAAATTTTAAAATTATGTGGTCTAAGTGAATACATCCAACGTTTCCTGATGCAGTTTGTGCGATGATTGGAATCTGTCAACATATTGTAGGTTAAAGTTGGAAAAATTGGCGACCTTTACCAAGCAAAACTAATTCCCATTCCGCCCGAAGGGAAAAATCGCACATTTTTCAACTTAGACTCAAAGATTTTGACACATTCCCACAATCGCACAAACTGCCTCAAGAAACGTAGGTTTTATTCACTTGGACTACATAATTTCAAAATTTCGACCAAATCGGAGGGTTACACTTGACACCATCGCCTTGTAAGGATTTTCTTACACATACTTATTTAGACTTTATAAATTTTAAAGAAACGTCATTGTCGATTCTTTCGTTGTGCATAAAATGCAAACATTTCTTGCAGCCCATGCCATGCCGGAGGGGACGCCAAACCCTGAGAAACGTTTCCTCAAATTGTAAAATCCAATGCGCATCCATTGCAGTAAGCAAGATGTTGCCACGACCCACGGTTTATGTAGCCCCGGGGTCCTTCTAGGTTATTAAAGAGAGATGGGAACATCCATATATTGCGTTCATCAAGAAACGCATACACCAATTTTTTTCAGTACCCACCCACTAGTTCCTTATCATACTGATGCTTATACCTCATAATGCACGAGCAAGATAGGAGCCACCAATTAAATTTTTGATGGCGTAATATATGCACGTTCCGTAACCTCGTTGTCACTCCATATTTGAGTACAGTTTTGTCTCGACGATGGAAAGTTCAACTGCTGTTCGAGTTTCTCCAATTCTCTAAAATTACAAGGTAACGAGTTAAACTTATAGGTTATAATTTTTTAATACTAAATAAATACATTGTACATAGTAAAAGCAATAGCTTGGTGCTAAATTTTTACCATATCGGTAGCAAATTTGTACGGACCGGTACTGCAATTGTAATCCCAGCTGCCTGAGTCACGCAGCGTGACTACGAATACATATTCCAGATTTCTGAGTGTAAAGGGTTGTGATTTAATTTCTCTCCACTCACTTTTCACTACTCGTGCATAGAGAAATTCAACTGCAATTCCTGAACCTGTGAATACTTAATTTTGAAGATCTTATCATATCTAAGTAGCCCAATACCAAAGGTCGATCGTGACCATCGTAGAGTTTCGACAAAAACTTCAGGTGCGCAGAAATTAAAAATAGAAGAAAAATCGGAGAATTTATGATGTTGCGGGAAAACGGTAAGGCTACAGACCAGTAGAAATTCTGTCATATACAAAACACTGTCTCAGCGACGTAGGAAGATGTCACCTACTACAACCACATCAATTCAGTCAAGATTCATCAAGAAACGGAAGTTCGGTACTAATTTTGGCAAAAGAGTGAATTTTCGAAGTTTACGAATACAAATTGCATTGTGGAAATTTATTTTTCAGGACTTGCTACACAACTGGTTCGAATTCTAAAAAAATGTGTTTCTTGTATAGGTCGTGGTTAGCATACCTTTCCGTAAATTATGGACGTTGAGGAGAAACCCATTCTGCATTTGGCCGTATCCCTACCTGAGGTTTGTTTGTATCAAACGTATTTCTCTACACTCTTAAAAATAATCTTTCCATTTCCAAGTAAATTCACTCCGAATTCTAAATTAAATAAACTGTTTAAACTAAATCCGGAGTAAACTTTACTCCTTACTTAGCTAACGTTACGCTAGATTTAGTCCAATCAATTATATACATATGTATACCTACTAGAATCCTACACTCAAAACAAAAATTTGTCAAATCAACACCACCAGTGTCAATATATGACTTAACCGCCTTGGTTACAATGTTGTATCCGAGTTATGATGATTTTGATAACGGTAGTTATAATGTTATGACCGGACGGAAAAATTTCACTACCACTCGGAATTATAATTGTAACCAGGGCAGTTAAGTCATATCTTGACACCGGAGGTTTTGATTTGACAAATTTGTGTTTTTAGTGTAAGTAAAGGGTATTGATTTAATTGGTCCCCATTTCCCCTCTCCATTATACTTTAAATATTGCACCTCAAAAACTGAAAACTTCGAGGTAACCTTTGTTTCTAAAGGCGCATTACTAATTAGTTTTCGGCAATTTATTTTTATCAGGGCCAGAGCTCTGTTCTTTTGACTTTGTGCTAATTTTTGAAAATTTATTTCGGGTTAAAAAAAACAGAGACAAATTCAATCAACACCCTTTATCTAGAATGCAGTTTGCATTAAATTTCATAAAGGGTAAAATTATCTTTAAGAGTTCACATCTTACTCAAACGTTCAAATTTACTCTTACAGATTGTCGGAAAGATCACGGCATTCCTCCCAAACTCAGACCTGCTCACGTGCACCCGGCTTAATTCTGTATGGGAGGGCGCGGCCCGGAAACACCTCCGTGCCCGAATATCCATCTCTATGAAACATCTTCCCCCCTACCTGGAAACCATGCTTGTCCGATCCAACCATCACGAAAGGATGGAATTTTGCTACACTAGCGCCCCTGAGTTTGTCACCTTTTTACAAAATGCCGGAAAATTGGACCACTCATTCCTCTCGATAACCCTCGATAAGGACTTATCTTGCTGGGATGGCGTCTTCTCCAGTCTAAAACTTGCCGGGACAAGTTTGACCTCCCTAATGTTACGGCCGATTTGCTTTAAATCACATACCCCCCACCCTTCCTCCGTCCTGGCAGTTTTGACCCCGGAAAAAAATTTGACCCTTCCCGCCATCACGAGGTTGTCCTTAGTTTCCTTACCCGCCCAGACATATCCCGCCCTAGGAAACATCTATTCTCGGCTTGCCCCCCTTCTCCCAAACGTGGACACACTACGGCACCAACTTTGTGAACAGAGCGAGCTTGACTTCCTACTTGGCACGAGGCCCGCCCCATTTCCAAAATTGACCTCATTATCCGTCACCCACTGTAATTTAGATCGTACATTAATCGACTCCTTCCAAATAGCCGTAACGCCATCTTGGGCCCTTACCCGGCTTGAGTTTGATATTCGGAACGACAAAAAAAAACATTGGTCCGATTTTGCTCCGAATTTATTCCGCCGGTTTGGAATACGTGCATATTTGTAAGGTTAGAAATTCCGTATTACCCGAAGGTACCGAACCTACCGTTCTGCACGTCCCGGTCATGCCGAAACTTCGGGTTTTCAAAGTGACGAGGAACCCTGGCCCGTGCGAGGCCGGGGGCGGGATCAGGTTTAAATTCGAAACGGAGGATCCTGCTGAAGGGGGTAAAAAGATTAACTATGGAAAGCAGTTTCCCGCCTTGCAAGCGATTAGAATTGGGTGTGCCGGGAAAGTGAGGGAGGCTGAGGCGGACACGTGGTTTGAGTACGTGGCCCATTTTCTCTATGAAGTATTCGCCCCGGGAAATGGGGTAGTGTGTGAAACGCTACAGGACCTGGATGTCCCCCTTCCGGCGGGGGAGAGGTTCAAGTTAATGGGGGCGAAGGGTACGAGGTGTGGGATAAAACAGGGAGTTTGTGACTGTTGGGAGTGGGAGAGGTCGGACGTCTTCTTGGGTCGGCTGACTGCAACTTTTCCCAATTTGAGGGCTCCGCGTTTGGCCGAGAGGGGGCGGAAGTTGAGGGAAGATGGGGTTAAGGCTTGGGTGCGGAGGGGGGTGGAGCTCGGTCTGTTGGAAAGAAGGGGGATCAGTGATGGGATGTGGGTAGATTTGAAGGATGGAGGTAAAGAGGAAATATGTAAGATTTTCAAGTAACCAAATTCGTTCGGAGAAAGTGTAATTGTAAAATTTAATTGTATGTGTGTCGTCTGAATTACATATAACATTTCTCAATTTTAATTGGATGTATGTATGGAAATATTTTGTGAATGAACGTACATTCATATTTGCCTGGGGAAAAAATTTCAAAATCAGAGCATTGTCTTAAAAGTTGTGCTAAGAGTAAAATTAGCATTTTGCATCCATATATGTATATTTACATATACAATTTTTATTGTGAAACGTTATTAGTTGTGATGTATTGTTTTTTTTCTTCGCGATGTTTGTAATTCTGCGTGTGAACCGTTTAAAATACTTCTTCTTACGAAATTTACACATATGTACATATCATCGTTTAAGAAACTAGTTTAATAAAATTTTTTGCAAAATAATTAATCCAGGCCTAAATTAATTTCAAACCCAGGAAAATTATAAGAAAATATTTATATCCTAATCTCGCACTAAATTCAATCCTTATATCCTAATTTGTAATCCTAAAATTTCGAAATTAATGCTTAAATAAAAACCTAATCAATCAAAGAAATAGGTATGCCAATTTGTTTTACTAAATATGCTTAAATAATGTGCAGAAAGTTTGGAAGATAAATTTGCATGCTGTTGCGTACAAATGGGAACAGTTTCTGCTGATTTTTACCGTTATAAAGAGCGGACTAAACTTTTACATAGTTTGTATGCATGTAAACCCAACTCCTCTCTGTGTTGAAATTGCAATCAACAATTATTTACAAACTGTTTAAATGGAGACTGTTTATCATGAGAAGAAAGATACGATTTAGCACGGTGGAGGTGCAAGAACTTAATTTTTGTGCACAAAGATGGCACACTCATCTGATCGTGGCGGAAATTTGTATGATCGTCAGATTGGTTCGATTGATGGCGCTGTCAGTTTTTGTACATTTTAATTTCGTTCCATGTATTTATGTATTACACGATATGAATGATAAGTTACACTCTACACAATATTGTGTAAAATTTATTGAACGTGCAGTAAAATAGAGCAATTGGGTACAATTTACAATTTGGGTACATTTTCGCTACCCGCGGTAACCCTAGAATGCACATACATAAACCCTTATAAATGGGGTTACGATTAAATAAAACCAAAAAGTAAACGTATTTGAATCCACCGACGTGGTCATGAATTTGTCACCAACTGGTTATAAATTCCTTAGCTCTTGTGACAATTTAATACCAAGTCGGTGAAACTTTATAATTAGTCGGTGACAATTGTAACCACTCGGTGACAAATTTATAACCACGGCGGTAGAGTCAAATATATACGTTTACTTTTTGGTTATAATCGTAACCCCATTTCTAAGAGTGTACATACATTTGAATGTGTCTGGAAAGTACGAAAGATTGTATATTTTCATACATTTAAAAATATCATTATTTGAAAAAAGGTCAATGACCAAGGGTGGGAAGTATGCCTTCTTGACAATCAATTTGAACCAAATGTGGTAGCCGATTCCTTTATTTTGTGCTTAAAAACCAAATATTTCGTACCGCTTTGTCCTGCTGCAAGAGACCCAAAAATATGTGCAACGTTTCCTCGCTGCATTCCTTTGCAGCAGGAGGCAAGATATTCCATAGCCCTCGGGTTCTTCTAAATCTTATATTATAAGCTGGAAATGTTTGTCTGCAACGGAAGTGAAAGTAGTTTTCCGTGACGGAAGTGAAAGTGGAGAAAATTTCACTTCCCTTGCCGACACACATCTCCAGCTAATTATATAAATAAAATAAGAAACTAATTCGCTGGAATTATGAACAATCCCACTTAATTTTCACGAAAATCAAATAAGCACTTGCCCGGCAGGAGACGGGCTTTTACTCTAGTATGTTATAGAATAGAGAGATAGGAACGTCCATGTATGTATGCATTACATCATCAAGAAAGGTAAACCCCGATTTTTTAAGTACCCACCCACCCACCCCTTACTTATCCTAATAATGTTAAGCTTAGACACGAGTAAGATAGGCGACCCAAAACCACCCATCCAAATTTTGGATGAGATAATATACCGATGTTCCCTTGCATGCGTCAACCTCGTTGTCAGACCATAGGTAGTTGACGACAATGTTGGTATTGTCTCGTCGGTGGAAACTTCAACTACTTAATTACTGTCCGAGTTGCTATCATTCTCTAAAGTTTAAAAGGTAAAAAGAAAATTTGAATAAAATAACAAATACTAAAGCGAAACAACACCCGACCCGCCCGATATCCAAGTATGTTCGGGAGGGTCGGATACAAAAATTGTCTGGGTTTCGGGGTTGTGTTTTCGAAATGTTTGACCCTACTCACCTCTAAGAGGTGAGGCGGGTCGCGGGTCAACCCGGGTAAAACCGTGCCCCCTCGGAACACGATTCTGTTTTTGGACGGAAATTTCGGGCTGAGAAATTGCCCGAGTTTTAAAATGTTAGACCCGACTTAGCTCTGCATCATAAATAAGTTTCGTTTATCGTAATTAAAGAAGAAAGTACTTTTAAAATAGTACAGCATTTTAGTGAAATTTTACACTTCCAAAATATTTTATGTAGACCTTATTTTGACATTTTTAAATACCTATCCTAAATAAAGCAGATTGATATTTAATCCTATAATATATGCACCCTTCCTTAATATACTATCTATATTATCCTATGTATAATATAATATAGTACTAATTTCCTATATGTTTTTATATAATTTAATTTATTTAATCTATTTATTTTCGCGTCTTTAAATGCCGAAGATCATTTTCTTAAATTTAATTTATTATCAATAAATTTTAAGGCATATTTAGATACACTCTGGTTCGCATACTTTCCTAGTAGATTATGGACATCAATGAGAGGACAATTCTACATTTGGCCCTGTCCTTACCAGAGGTTTGTTTATACATATGTTTATCTGCACTCTTAAAAATAATGTCCCCCTTTCGAAGAGGAAAAACAACATTTTATAAAAGTAAACTACACTAAATCCAGTGGAAACTTTTCTCTTGATCATATTCCCGTAACGCTGGATTAAGGCTATTGAGTTAAATACATACCTAGTAGAATCCTACGTAAAGCGTGTTGATTTAATTCGTCCCATATTTAAAAACTGGAACCTTAAAAAGGGTGAAACCTTGAAGGTAAATTTTTATAAGAGACAAATTGCTGATTAGTCTTTCAGCAATTTATTTTAATCATGCCCTTAAATCTTTTCTTGTAATAATTTTCACAAATTTGCGTCGGGTTGCAAAAAGAATATCGGGAATAATTAAATCAACACCCTTTAGAATCCAGTGTGCCTTAAACTTCAAACGGGTAACATTACTTTTAAGAGTGCATATGTAACTTACTTAAACCTTCGAATTTATGCCCACAGATTATCGGACGGGTTACAGGATTCCTCCCAAACTCAGACCTGCTCACGTGCACCCGGCTTAATTCTGTATGGGAGGGCGCGGCCCGGAAACACCTCCGTGCCCGGATAACCATCACTACGGAACATCTTCTCCGCTACCTGGAAACTATCCTCGTCCGATCCAACCATCACAAAAGGATGGAATTTTGCTACAATGGCGGCCCCGAGTTTGTCAAGTTTTTACAAAATGCCGGAAAATTGGACCACTTAATCCTCACAATTACCCTCGATAAGGACTTATCTTGTTGGGATGGCATCTTCTCCAGCTTAAAACTTGCCGGGACAAGTTTAACATCCCTGTTGTTACGGCCGGTTTGCCTTAAACCGTATACCCCCCACCCTTCCTCCATCCTGCGAGTTTTAACCCGGGAAAAGAATTTGACCCTTCCCGCCATCACGAGATTGTCCATGGTTCCGTTTCCCCTCAGGAAATATCCCGCCTTAGGAAACATCTATTCCCGTCTTGCCCCCCTTCTCCCAAACGTGGACACAATACGTCTCCAATTTTGTGAACAGAGCGAGCTTGAATTCCTACTTTGCGCGAGGTCCGCGCCCGCGCCCGCGCCCGCCCCTTTCCCAAAATTGACTTCGTTATCCGTCACCCACTGTTTTTCGGAGCGTATATTAATCGACGCATTCGAAACAGCAGTAGCGCCACCTTGGGCCCTTACCCGGCTTGAGTTTGATGTTCGGAACGACAAAAAAATCATTGGTCCGATTTTGCTCCGAAACTATTCCGCCGGTCTGGAATATGTGCATATCTGTAAAGTTAGAAATTTAGTGTTACCCGAAGGTAGGGACCCGACCGTCCTGCACGTCCCGGTCATGCGGAACCTTAAGGTTTTTAAAGTGACGAGGAACCGTGGCACGTGTGAGGCCGGGGGCGGGGTGAAGTTTCAATTCGAAACGGAGGATCCCGCCGACGGGGGAAAAAAGATTAACTATGCAAAACAGTTTCCTGTCTTGCAAACGATTAGAATTGGGTGTGCCGGCAAAGTGAGGGAGACTGAGGCGGACACGTGGTTCGAGTCAGTGGCGCATTTTTTGTACGAAGTATTCGCCCCGGGAAATGGGGTGGTTTGTGAAACTCTGGAAGATTTGGATGTCCCCCTTCCGCTGGGGGAGAAGTTCAAGTTACGGGGGGCTAAGGGTACAAGGTGTGGGATAAAGCAGGGAGTTTGTGACTGTTGGGAGTGGGAGAGGTCGGATGTCTTCTTGGGTCGGCTGACTGCAACTTTTCCTAATTTGAGGGTTCCGCGTTTGGCCGAGAGGGGGCGGAAGTTGAGGGAAGATGGGGTTAAGGCATGGGTGCGGAGGGGGATGGAGCTTGGTCTGTTGGAAAGAAGGGGGATCCGTGATGGGATGTGGGTAGATTTAAAGGATGGAGGTAAAGAGGAAATATACAGGATTTTCGAGTAGCTCTGTAAGAATGCGATGGTGTGATGTGTAACGCTCGGATTAGGTTCAAATTTTAGAATTATGTGATTTACGTCAATACGATCAACGTTTCTTGAGACAGTCCGTACGATGGTGGGAATTTGTCAAAATATTTGAGGTCAAGGTTTAACAATTTACGATTTATCCTAGGAGGATAATGTTAGTGGAGTTTTCTTCTACTGCTTGGCAAGAATCGCTTCTTTTTCAAATTTTACATACCTCAAATATTTGGGCAAATTCCGCCCATCGCACAAACTACCTCAAGAATCATTGGTTGTATTGACTTGGACATCATATTTACAAAATTTCCACCAAATCTGCGCATTACACTTCACACCATCGCATTGTAAATAAATTTGTTTGTAGGGAAGTGTGTTGAAGAGTTGAAATGTATGCGTATACACAATGTCTGAATTCTGATATGTCGAAATTTTCAGTCAGCAATGTACGTTGATACATATTTACATAGATGTGCATAAAAGATTCCTTCAAAAATCAGAGAATTACGATAAAAAGACTTATTGTTAGTACCAAGAGTAAAATTAGAATTTTGTTACATAATTTTGAGTGCTAAAAAACGTTTAGATATTTACGATCTAATAACTGGTTCACCTAAAGATGAATGTAATTCTGCACGTGAAATGTGAATATTTTAAATATTTATTATTTCGCACTTTATATGTATGTACATTAGCTTAATGATTTTCAAAGTCGTGCGTAATAAAATTGAAATCAAAGCAATTAATCCAATTCTTAATTGATTTCTAGTCGGGGAAAGCGACCCAAAATTTAATACAAAGTTTAATACTAAATTTAAAATTTAGTACTCACGTCAACCTCCGCATATCTGACAAATTGAGCATAGCAACATATTCATACTGCGTGATCTGCAAGATTTCGCAACACTATTACTGGAACACTGTTGGATTATTTAGCAAAGTTACCCAGCAATTGGGCATGTTCTTGTATATTTCGCAAAATTATTTCGCAAACCCGTCCTCACCATCACGAGAAAGGGAAATTACAGAAATCCAATCAAACAATATCAAAAACTGGTGTTTTTAGTGGATTTGCGAGATTTACGAAGTGATGTACATACATTACATTCGAGCTCATATGAATAAAAATAGTCCCAAAAAAACCAAATTTTCTCGGCCCTTGCAAACACCAGGAGAAATAAAGTTGCTGCCTCTCTGCAGAATCCATGGATGTTTTATTATAATAAAAAGCATGAACGTCAAATTACCATGAGAACAGAGATAATATTGCAAAAGATGGATGTGCACAAGCCTCATTTTTCTGCAGATAGATGGCACATCCATCTGAGCGAGAAACATATATTTATAACGGGCAGATTAATTCGATGGATTGCATTGTCAGTATTTTGCCTTTATACCAACTCATTATATTCATCGCATTTATTACGCGAGATGAATGATCAGTTACACTCTAAACAAGGTTGTGCAAAATTTTCTCCAGGGTTGAGAAAAATAGAAGACGACGCAAAAATTGGGCAACGTTTGTCCAACTTTGTATAAAATGTATGCAACTGACAGACAAATTGTATACAACGTTGGGAAAATTTGACAGAATTGTTGTGTCGTGCTCTATTTTCTTGAGGGATTTTTGCACAACTTTATTTAGTGTTTAAATACGTGCACACTACATACTTAATTACTAAATGATAATGTAAAATGATAATACACTCTGCAATACAATTTACACATGTTCCAATTTATTTGCACTTATTTTATGAATACAAAAGCTGAGGTTAATTATCGTCAAAATACTTTCGGGTGTCTTCTTACAATAATTAGAATTACAAAAAACCATCCTCATCTTTGAAGCAAAAATGTCTCATAAGTTAATCACTTTGCTTTTTTTATTTTTGAGTAAAGGTCTCAATTAAACTTAAGAATAGAAATCTGTACTATAAGTTTTCATAAAAATTGCTAAATTGGCATCTTTCATATTTTTATTCATCTTATTATTTGTTGAAAGTAGCAAATTCGTATTTGCTTAGCTTTTATCAAAACAAGTCGACGCGGCATTAACAAATTTTTGAACTATTAACAAAATTTTCTACTGTTTACAAAATTTAGAATTAAAAACAGGTTATCGACTGAATCGTAAACGAGATATATTCTGACAGGCATGTAGCTATGTCCTAAAAGACATATATAGTTCCAGAATGTCATGCCTGCTTTTGTAATACCCAGCGATGTATTAAATAAATAGCACATAAATAACCTATACAATAACCCATATTTCGATCGTGGAAAATTAATATGGAATATGCAATTATTTTGCAAACTTCAACACATAAGAAAAGTGGGTTCCGAAATCGAGGCAGCGGCCAAATTCTAGTCCAAAATAGTTTTTAAAAATTATTTGCGCTGATATTTGACCAAGTTTGAACGATTTTGACATAAAACTCAAAATTAGGCAAAAAATTCGCACATTTTCGCTCGTATCGCAAAAACTGACCATGCACCCCCCCCCCCAATATTATTTCAGATTCTTTATGTACACAAAATTACGCAAATTTTAAGCCATCAAACTCGAAAATCGTTCGAATCCGAAAAAACACGATCTCATTGTATATATCTATCTTAATAAATGGTGTGGTAAATTTTCATCTGTTTAAAATGATTCAATGTACCTATCTGTGCATCGGAAATATTTATTAGAAAAATGTGTATATAAATATGAACGCAAACTTAATTAAAGTCAATTAATTATGAGAAAAGTTCGTTAATCTCGAATTTGTCATGTATATAACATACGTACATAGTTCAAACGTGTCCCCAAAAACCAAAATTCGTCATGCTTATGATGTATCATAAATATCCGTTGCATACCAAATTTATCACATGATGTGCCATGATGACTACCCCTTGAAGACCAAATATGTTATATCCTGTAGAAAAACGTTTACCGTCAAGATTTCTCCAAAATTCTCAAAACTGGGAATATTCGTTTGTTATTTATTTTGAGAAAGATTAAAATTGTAAAAAGTTTCTTTGTGTGACTTTTTCGCCCATATTTTGGTGTATATTTATCCCAGTCAATGTCAAAAAGCATTTTTGTTTTTAGTTTTTCATAAAAAACTCAAAATCGAAACCTCAAAATTGGAAACTGATTGAATAATATTTCATTTTTTGCTACGAGATGAAGTTATCTTTGAAATCAATTTCTTACTCAAGGCAGGTTTTTTTTCTAGAATTATGGTCACACCTAATTAAGTATTTTACATGGTGCATACTAATGATTAGTCACTTGAGACAAGTTGAGAAACACGTGATTTATGTTAATGAGGCAAGTTGAGACGGGAACGCTGGGTGATTAGTTTGCGTCAGCATTATAATTGCTTATCTGGTTCATTATTAGCTCTTGCATAAATCACCTCGGGCTTATCTGGCTGGAAAGCTTGGCATAATCCTTTGGCAAATGCTTATGTACATATGCAGATCACGGTTTAATTTACTTGGATCATGAGAATTTTGCACGCAGCACTTGTCTCTGCTTGAGCACGTCCACCTTCGCCCTTTTCATGAAGTAGATACATAGATAAACAAATAGTCATGCATACATACGTTGGTCAACCACGTTGTATAATAAAATAACGAAAAAGAGAGGTCTCCCAACGTGTGCCTCAGATTTGAGGCAAATCGATCGCAGGCTTAATTAGTATGAAATTTTAAAAATGACACAATTTCCCAATCAACACACTCTAAGAAATTTTATCGCCGGTGGTGACTATATATGTGACTCTACCGGAATGGGTATCACACGCCACCGCTCGGTGACAGCTAGTTTACCGCATGGAAACAACTCACCACCAGCTTGGTGGTACTCAATCACCACACCATCACCAACAAGGTAAAAACCTCGATCACCAGAGCTAACACTTATCACCGGATTTCTAGAGGGCACGTTTGGCGGAGAAATTTGCAAGGAAAGAGGAGAAAACCCGCAATAAATTTTATACTGTGGAAAGCATGTCAACTTGAAAGCCATTTTTGCAAATGTCTCTGCGCATTAGGAGACCAGTGCCTTTTGACAAAAATTCAAAAAAATTAGGTAACTTCTTCATCGATTGGCACCACTTAGTTTGTTCAAAATGTGAGAGGGCATACGATTGACAATCTCAATTGTTGCTTATTATACAACGTTGTTGACCAGTATGTGCGACAGCTTGTTTATGTATCTACTTCATGAACAGGATGAAGTGGGACGTATTTTGCAACCGTTTGTGTAAACCTGTCCATATTAAGTGTGAAGTTCCGTTTATGGGGGGTTGACTGCAGTGATGTTGGTGATGAGGAAGATGAGACGATCGTCGTCGTCGTTGTGGTGTGTGCGTAATAATTGGGAGGCGAGATGAGACTTGGTTGCACTTTTCTTAGAGAGGTTTTATTTATTACTTGTACAAACAGGCAGAACTCTGCCTCTCCAAATAATATTGGGAGAGGTAACCTGCAGTAACACAAAATACTTCCTCGACCGTCCTCCACCGTTCCCCGTCTGGTGGCTGCGCTTTCGCTTATATATCCTAGCAATACCTATTGATACCTATGTGTTGACCGATTATGAACCGGTTGGCCACGCTGAATAGAGATATCTCAGATGAGGTTGTGACGAAGCTGGTTTGCAACATTGTCTCTTGTTTGTAAGAGATGATGGAGGTGAGTGGCATACTAATTAGGGGGTTTGGCATTAATGAAGTTGACCAAACCTGCTCTTTCACATAAGCTTACATATTGTTCGAGATGACGAACGAGCCAGATAAGCAATGTGTCATGAACCACCGATAATATCCAACTGCTCCAAGCATTCTGCCAGTCTCGACGTTTATTTCTCATTTTTCCTACAATGTCGAATCATTTTTATGCATGGTTTAAATATATTTAATGAGCTGTTACCATGATTAATTGAACGATTGATAGAGCTTGCATACACGTACATACATACATAGATGGATTCTAAAAATATGTAAAAGGATATATGATTCCGAATTGATGAAAAATTTAATAGAGCATTTATTTAAGATAACGGTGAATTGATGCTGATTCGGGCGAAATATGATTTGGAACAGTAATGTGTGCAGCTATTTTTTTTGATCAGTTTAAATTTTTTGCACAACAATACAGCAAACTTTTCACGATTTTTTAAAAATTGCATAAATTGAGTACCAGCAGTCCGTTTCATATTGAAGTATTATTTCATTTCTTATTTTATAAGAGATAGTTTGATTCGGGTGGAAGATGCTTCCTTGGACCAAGTCCACCAAGGGAGGTCCTTGCCTTTCACCATTTTATCTGCCAAAAAGGGGGTTCATACCGCTGCGCTGACGGATTTCCCTATACCGACAAAATGTTACCTCGTAAATTTTTGTGTTTCCGTGCCTAAAACTTTGTAATTTCTTAATATAGCGAAACGTTAAAGTATGGATCGTTTAGCTTTATTAAGACGACTGAACTCCCCCCCTTTCCCCGCACCATGACCTCGGCAAGCTTATAAAGTCTTCGAATTAATTCATTTTCGTTTAGTTAGAAAGCCCACTTCTAAAATTGTAAAGCTATAAATAGGTGGCCTTTTGCTTAGAAATAAAAATACATAGGTAGCAACGGTACATAAGTGACCATTTCGGGTGTTTTTCATCCGGTGTATTTGTGTACCCCTTACAGGTCGGTTAGACACATTTAAAATAATTAACATTCCAATTTTTATATTTTTTTAGCTTTGTTACAAATTAAAATGTGTCATTAGGAGAAATATTTATATCCATGTTTTGCTCATTTCCGGTTCACTAGATAAATTTATAGCAAATTAAATATTTGGCAAATTTCGGAAAGAAACATGTTGCTGAGACATTTTATACATAAATATGTTAACGTCGAAAAATGTATTTATTCCGTGCAATCGCACCAAGCTGTTGGTAAATATTTCACACTTTTCTCAGTTTCTTTTACATCTCTGCTGGTAAATATTCTCATATGTAAATATTGATAGAAATACGACCCAATATGCATGAGGTTTACTACGCATCCACATAATCCTTTATAGCTAAATAAAATGAACCCAAATTTTAACACTGTCAAACATTTGTCAGCAATATTTACTAAAGAAAACAAAAACAAAAACTTGTTTTTCTGAAAACTCGACCGATTTGAAATAAATAACCAATTTGTCATGGATTTTATTCATTTTCTTAATTATAATAAAATCTTCAACTAAAAAAACAGGAGCAAATGTACTTTATACGCATACACGTATCAAATCAGGGATATTTTTAAACTAGCCATATTCTAATGGTAAAAAGTAAATAAAATTGCTATAAAATTGCTATTGTCTATAAAATTGCTTTCTGCAAAACATTTTTTATGTGCATATGTATGTGTGTATTTTCGACTTTTTTAAAGTACATATCACAAGTATCTATGTACATAATATGTATATACCTACATATTATGTACATATTTTGACGAATGTAAATAAGTACATACATATCCGCCCTACGTTCACGACTCATGAGTAAAATCTGCATGGACTGTTATACTTGAATGTGGGCAGCATGGCTCATCTTGCCTCATGAACCTCATGAGTACACTCTTAAAAAACACCACCATTTTGAAACACATGTAGCTGCACTCTCAATTTTATATTAACCAAATTACATTAAATCTGGTTTAAAATTGTACTCTTTATCAACCTTATACTGAATTTGGTATATGCACTTTCTTTAAAATAGAATCGGGTGTGCATTTACTTTTGAGAAGGGCTACATTATTTTTAAGAGTGTAGAATGGAGCTTAGACAATAACTAGGACTTATTTCGCCTCCAATGGTCACATGCATGCATGCATGCGTGACGTGATGAATATTTAACAAGGTGTTTAATTACGAACATAAACTGAGTTGGGATAATTACGCAAAATTAACCAACTGCGTTTAAGTCTGATTTGCATTGTACTCAGAATTTCTCGCAGCTCAAATTACGTTCTAAAAATCATTCCAATTTTCCGTTCGACCTAAATAAATCTGATTTAAGGGTGACTAATCGACCCAAAGTGACACAATCCTATCACCTCGTGCATACGTTTGTGCAAATTTCATAGTAATTAAAAAGGATTTTGCACTGTAAAATTGTTACGTGACGTGATTAATAACTTCCTTGTAAATGGGTCCGCCTGACGAGATGTAAATTCCTTATCTATATATCACTTCCACGTAAGCTTACATATGTATGCAGAGGGGACGTTCAGTAATTATGTGTAAATAGAACGGGGAGGGGGAGATCGTGGGTCAAATCTTCAACAATATTGTGACCAAATTAAGTAACTAATCTTTGAGATTAGACGAGTCGAGAAAATCTGAATTTGACCACTTCATAATATACGCACGTCCCACTTAATTCATATTTATGGGAAAGTTTATCATCCATTTATTGAACCATGAGCTCCATCCTTATCAATATGGAAAAGTACAATCGGTTGGAAAATACGAAGATCGTTGGCCAATCGACAGCCGCCAGGTCAATTTGCAGTGTGAATTTTGCACAAAGTGCTTACGTCCTGTGCATGAGGAGATAAGCCAGCATGTCAAGCTATCTACCGCAGTGTACATAATAATGGCAAATATGTTGCTGTAAATAATTATTTGGAAATGCATGATAAAAATTTATTGTTCCAAACTCATGAGACGTGTGTCAGCCAGAATCCACCCATCATTAAACAATTTTATGTGACATCACACAAATACTGAAACATATATAAAAAAACTCGATTGGCTTTGTTACGCTATCAAAATGATTTTATTTATTTTCGTAAAATAAATAAAATTATAGCTTATAAAAAATATATAAAATGGTAGATTTAAATGTTTTCTGAAAATAATGAATTAAATTAAATTAAAAAAAACACCCCATCGTAAAAATGAGTTTTATTGGAAAAACGTTTTTATTAAGGTGCCCATGCAGTCATGGATTTTTGTTGTGTTTTTGGTACAATATTAAAATCCTGAAAATTAAAAAATTTGTTGCATGATTAATTTTAATTTTAATGCATATACAATCAGAAATATTTGTAACTAACTTTTCCTTTGGAAGGGATTCAGGTAGAGATGTTGATAAAGATTCGTTAAACTCTTCAAAAATATTGTCCGCATTGCCAGGCATGTATCTATCTACCGCGGCAACACCCAAGGAATCCAAGTTCACGAGGTGTGACCTATAGTTTCTCAACTTCTCGGCACATTTCCTTAATTTTGCAGTCTGAAAGTTTTCCATAGTTAAATTGCATGCAATTTAACTAAAATCCTAACTAATAATGCATTATTAGTTAGGATTTTTAATGAGTAGTTAAGTTTTTAAGTTGTGCCCTTCACAAGGGTTTTCAGAGGGGTGCTAGTAATATTTGGACCCGAACCGGAAGTAAAATCTTTATTACAAGGCAGCAAGGCCAGATTTAAAAAAAATCGTGAGAAATCGTACTCCTGGTTGTAACGCCCAACTTTAAAAATTCTGGCTGTCCCCATGAAGCCCTTACTAACCGTGTCCTCGTCCCAGTTTTGCACTTTGAAGGAAATCACCAACACGTCTGACAACTCGAAACATGGCTTGTCCTTGAGTGTTCGGGTACTCAAGAGGTTATCAAGCTGGTCTGCATCTAGATCTAAATCAACAGATTGGACGTCGTTCTCCTCTTCATCCTCATCTTCGGAGGAGGTTGGGATCTCCTCGGTCTTATTGGGTGGGGCAGAACTGATTGTGGTGAATAATTTTGAAACGTAAGGATGATCCTGAACATCATTTGTGGTGTAGGCCAAGCTTGGGGCAGACTTAAAATGAGATGTTTTTCGTAATGTGAGGGCCATATTTGGTATCGAAATAAGCAGGGTGGAATGCAAATTTTTATTTTAAGGTTTCCAACTGCGACGGAGTTAATGTACGTGCGTCCTTTTTATATCGAATATTTTCGTCACATGAGGCCGTGCATGAGTTATGTAACTCAGTTCCGCAGTATAAGATCCTAGGTATTTAAAATAAAATCATGATCGTGTTTCATGATGGGTTCATGATCTTATCAGGATGGGGAGCATGAGCGTGAACTTATTTCCACAATATGAGTAGTATAGATAAGTTGTCATTTGCAAATTTAGACACATATACAACACATATGTAAGGTTGGTGATGTGGATAACGCAGAACTTCGTTCATGACCAGATACGCAAACAGTTGTCCACGTAGTCTACGTGGTTTGATTGATCACCTCTACGTGACGTAGAGGTGATCAGTTAAACCATAAGAGCAAATAAGAATGCTTTCGCGAATAATAATTTCTTGCAAAGTAAACTGTAGCAATCGCACATGAAGAAGTAAATAGCTTCAGTCTCACCTTATCCCAAACCCACATAGGACTACGCGGGAACACTCAGTTTCAGTATGTTTCATGTGATTCAATTTCAGCGGAAAAGTCATTTTGCCTCGACCACATCCACTTAATGCAAAGGGGTTGTGGCACAGCGCGGGAACACGTAATTTCATTCCATTTCATCCATAGTTACTCAATTTCGGTAAAAATTGATTATTCCCCCAAGCCACACCCCATTATCTTAGGGAGTGGTCCTATTGACCCGAGCAATATGCATGTACGATTCTGAAAACCGATTTGGATTATCTAGATCTTATCTCTCGTTATTCTGTTGATGGACGGATAGACTGCCAGAGAGTCGGACGGACATAATCACTAACAGACGGACAAAGTCTTCGCATAAAGTAGTTGAGGCTATTTAATAACTATGTAAAGATTCGCGATTCCTATGTAAGTTTTTTTTACGCATGTGGAAATTAAGATGAACACATTTCAGGCTCCATGCTATTAACCTCCTGTTTTTATGTCTCCCACATATTATGAACTCGCAATCTCCTCATTAGTGTTAATTGATGCAAACCAGTCATATGTAGAATTCTACTGTTGAAGAAATAACATGTGAACAAGTGGCCAAATTACTGGAAGTCAATTCTAAATTACAGGTTACTCAAGAAATCTCAATTAAAAAATGCTTGATTGAATTTCAACATAAACAACTATTTCGTATATCAGACTAGCTATTTTCAACTCACTTGTCCAATCGGTGCTTTTATATTGCGGTTAAGGTTTTACATTGTCAGTGTCAACGGAAAAAATGTCGTGTCATGTCAATTTGTCAATTTTTTGTCATAAATGTCACAGCTTCAAAATGTATGACATTTATGACAAATATGACGGACATTTTACATAATTGGCAATCTCAATATGCCCCGTGACCTGGTAATCTAGGTAGCAGCTATTAAAACTCTTCTTTCACTCATTGAAATTCAATGAGTCAGCAAATTTTCTTGTTTGATCGCCATTCACTCTTATTTACAGATATATGTATATATGTACATATACATATGTATAAGTACAAGTCAAATTTAATTACGACCGCTCACAGTTTCATTCAAGAACTAGGAATTTCCTCTTTTCCGCCTGCTTCAATTTTATCTATGGTTCTCTTAGTTTGATTGCCAAGTAATATTCAGTCTATAGTAAATATTCAGTAAATATTTAAATATTGTAAGCATTAGTTGCAGTTAACTCTAACAAGTTGGTCGTAACTAGAAACTTTTAGAAAATATGCACCGAGCCTTCTGCAACTTCCTGTATATCCTGCTGGACCAATTATGTATCGAGTGAATGAATATATGACCTTACTAAACTGCAGACTACCAATGGTCCAAGCTTCATACTGCTCTAATGTTTACCGAAAAACATTTTATGTTATCGGAAAAGACAGACTTCAGGTCAGTATAATTGGAAGAAACATGTCTGGAATCGGCCAACTCTCCTAAATAGATGCTCCAAATAAAACTAATGATCAGAGACAAACAGAATAAGTTGTAATTTTAAGAGCGAATGCCGTCAGGATAATATGTTCAGTGTCATTCGTAGTAAATAATTATATGAGAGGAAAGATGTGTATGTATGTACCTGAGAAACAAAATATAACGCCTACGATGATTTTTTATTTGGAGAAAATGCGATACAAAAATGAAAATGTCATAATTGTCAATGACAAGTTGACAGAAAATTTGACAATTTCGAATTTGACGAACTTTCATAAATGTCATAATTGTCAGTAAAAATTAATGTCTGACATTTTTGACATTTATGACATTTATGACATGTCAAAATGTCATGACAAGGTGACAATGTAAAACCCTAATTGCGGTCCACTATGGGGGTCAAAACAGTGCTGAAAATTTGAGACTCTACGGTCAAATTTTCTTAAGCGAGTACTACAACTCCCAAAATATACGCCGAGATAGTTTGTCAGATTAGAGACTAATGCTACTCCCATGCAAGTTTACTTTCTCAAAACAGTAGTAAAATTTTTGATTCGTATTAAATGTCAGTCAGATGAAAATATTAGTAATATTGCATTTAAAGAGTTAATTTCGTTATACAATAAAGTTTATTGAATAAACCAGCCTCTGCTAAGTCTATAAACTGGTTCTCGTCGGTAATTCTACTTTGTCAAGATATAGAGGTGGATCATATTTTGAAACTAGACAATATTTTGAGTCAGGAAGTAATTGAGGTTTACGATAATATGAGTCAAGCTATTCATTCTGGGATTCATTGTAGAGTCTGATGTTGCTTTCATCACGAGTAAGGAATTCAATAGTTATGTACAACAAAATAAAAACGCGTGCGAAATGCAAGGAATATTTAAATTTGGACGTTCCATGGGGTTGGGCTAGACAATTGACTAGCAATGAAGGTCTCCCAACGTATGCTCACAAATTTTGACCAAACAGGTGTCAATCCATCACAACTTTAACTACACTCAAAGCAAAAATTTGTCAAATCAACACCGCCAGTGTCAACATAAGACTTAACCGCGTTGGTTACAATTGTAATTCCGAGTGGTAATGAAGTGTTTCCGTCCGGTCATAACATTATAACTACCGGTATCAGAATCATCATAACTCGGAATCAACATGTTAACCAAGGCGGTTAAGTCGCATATTGACACCGGCGGTGTTGATTTGATAATTTTTTTTTCAGTGTAGCGTGTATGGTTCCGAACAGATATTTGGTGCTAACTTGATTAACATTGAATCTGATATCTGGTCAATGTTAATCAAGTTACCACCAGATATCTGTTCAGAACCATAGTAGCATGAACTTTGTAAATGACATGATCTGCCAATGCGCAGGTTTGGCGGAGGTTGGGGGAGATATTTGCATCTAAAGCCAGAGAAATGCACTGCAAATTTAGAAAGTGTAAAAGTTGTCAACCCTTTCTCCTCTTTTAATGGAAATACCTGCCTCTGACAAGCTTAACCATTGTGTAATCGTGTCGTATGCAAATTTCAGATTAATTAATTTTGTGATCGACCGACGTTAGTTTGGTCTAAACCCGTGAGCATACTTTGGGATACCTCCACTGTGATTATATGTTTAAAGTAATTCAGTAATCAGTGATATGCCGGCTTCTGGCAAGCTACTAATTCACAAGATATGGTAATCTTATCATGCATACATAGATATCACAATGCTAAAAAATATATATGCATAAGCATTTATACTTCAAATACATGAAATGTGTGGTGACTACGGAATGCGTTGGCATTGAGGTAGTTACAATCAAAAGAGTGGAGAGTAATAAAAATGGCTTCAAACATATTCCTTGAAGATACTTGTCAAGTAAGATATTATGGGGTATCAGGAGACAAAAAAACCAGTCTCGACCAGCTTTTTTCTCACGCTAACCCAGAAAAGGATACTGTCATCGTTCTGGTGGATCCACACATTTGGAACCTTATGCAGGTATGGTTGACTATTATTAGAAGCTGTCCATTAGAAAGGGTTACCGATATCCTAATTTTTAAGGATGTAGGGATCTTTTGGAGAAATAAATGAGTAAACGTTTATTAAGGGAGAGGAGATTGTAATGTTTTTATTCTTTTCTGGATAACTTTTTTTTTAAAATGGCACAACAATTTTTTTGAATTAATTTGCGAACATATAATTATGAATGTGAGAGCTGATGGGGTTTGTGTTGTTTGGAAATTTTGCTATAAATAGTTTGGGAGAAATCTATCCTCCAACTAATACACTATCGAAAATGCTATGATATTATTTTTAACATTTATGATGGTAAAGGCTAATGCTATATCAATCTTTGAATAACAACCTCTATCTATCTATTTTTAACATTTAGTTCCTCCGTTTTAGGCATAAGTCAGCTATTTAGGCAACCACCTAAGGCGCAAAGTTCTTGGGGGCGCGAGTGGGCGACCATATACACTAGATACATAAAAACAACTTTATGGAGTTTTATAATTTATCATGCAAAGTAGCGTATGAAAAATTTCTAAAAGTATTAAATTTTGTAAGACATTGTGGGTATTCACGTAAATTTAAAAACGTCGCTTCGCAACACATCTTCGCAACTTTGGGGTGTTTGTGAAACCGGTGTCGTGAACGACCTACATATTTTACATGAACAATTTAAAAAAAATAACTCATATGAGAGCAAGAATTATGCGATTCGACAACGACAAACAACGAGAATTTTTATGGTGTACTTTCAGTATATGGATAAGTCAAACTGGTCGAAAAACGTTGTTGAGACATAATTTTTCGGGTGTCAGGTCACCCCAATTTGGTGTAATAGCCATATCAGCCTTCGATGAGGGTCGTACGGGGAAATTCATAGAAAATGAACCGCTGGGTACTTTTTCAAAATTAGAGGTGTTTTGGATTCATGAATGCCATGCCTCGACAGCTTTTTCGAGTTGTCTCGAAATTTCAGTTTTTCAATTTTTTCTAAATCACTGAAATTTTGATAATTTGGTTCTGACAAGAAAAAAATTGCGCTAACCTATTCTTCGGTTTCTGGGTATCAAGGAGTGGTCATGCACCCCACAAAGTATATAAATATATTCTGAATCCTCTCTCCAAGGCCTTTCCTTTTGGAACAAGTTAAATTACCATTAAGGTCGAAATCAACCTGCGTGACCTTTTTAGCGGGCCGAAAGTTCAATAGGTCATGGTCTCACAACACCCTATAAATGGGGTATCGTTGGAAAGGCCTTGGAGAGAGGATTCAGAATATATATACTTTGTGGGGTGCATGACCACTCCTTGATACCCAGAAACCGAAGAATAGGTTAGCGCAATTTTTTTTTGGTGAGAACCAAATTATCAAAATTTCAGTGATTTAGAAAAAATTAAAAAACTGAAATTTCGAGACAACTCTAAAATGCTGTCGAGGAATGGCATTCATGAATCCAAAACACCTCTAATTTTGAAAAAGTACCCAGCGGTTCATTTTCTATGAATTTCCCCGTACGACCCTCATCGAAGGCTGATATGGCTATTACACCCACTGGGGTGACCTGACACTCGAAAAATTATGTCTCAACAACGTTCTTCGACCAGTTTGACTTAAAAGAGGTCCACTATCGTCGCGGACTGCCCCGTCAAAGGCGCGCTGGGCGGGAACACAGCGAAATTAAATTTCGGAAAAATTATTTTTGAATAGACCAAGTTATAAGCTTTCCATTGATATATGTCACCAATTATTGAGTCATGGCTAAGACTAGAAAAACTTGGATTGAAAGTTAAGAGTTGAAAAAAGAGTGATTGAGTTTCACAAAAATCGAACAAACTATGATTCTAAACTCACTTGACACTTTTTCGAGTAAAAAGGTATTCCTGATTCAAATGTCAACTCTTACATAAAAAAGTACGAGGAATCCAATGAACTCAAATTTAAAGTCCCCACTGGTCGACCTGCAAAGCTAGCGACGACTAAACTCAAAAATCGCATAAATAAAATCTTCAAAAATTATCCATCAACGACAATGGCTGCCGCGGAAAGTAAGGTCAAGATTTCAAAAAGCTATCTGAGCAAAATCGAAGTCCAGAAACTAGGGATTACAGCAACGGCAGAAAAAAACAGCACCGAATTACAAACCAACGCAACAGGAAAGGATTCATGCGTTCTGCAAGAAATTGTTGAAGAAGATTCGGGGAAACGTGGTCATCATGGACAATGAGCCCCACGTCACAGCCGACCCTTCAAATCTTCCAGGAAGGCATTTTTTCCATAGTTCCAACCCCTGTGAAGTAAAATATGAAGACAAAGTCCAAAAGAAAGACCAATTCCCCAAAAAATGAAGAATTTGGCAACGCATGTCTAGCATTGATCATGTTTCCGATCCCGTTATTTTGGAATGCACTATAAACCAGGGGGTTTATCTTAAATCATGCATTAAAGGGGGATTGGAATCGTTTATTACCAAAGATCATAAAAAATAAACTTTTGCTTTGGCCTGACCTCGCAACTTCCCATGACGCCAAAAAGGTCACGGGGTACCGACATCTGAAAAAAATTGAGTTTGTGCCAAAATATGGAAACCCACCAAATTTCCTCAACTGCGACCAATTGAGAAATTCTGGGCGCTGACTAAGTCCAAATATTCTAAGCTTTCAGAAACGCCAGACACCTTACGAAAATTTAAGAACAGTTGGAAGAAAATCAGCTTGGAAGTAGGTGCAGTCTCTGCGCAGAATTTGATGCGAAATGTGAAGAAGAAAATACAATCTGTAGCAGATAGCGGAATTGAATCATTAAAATTTTAGCTGTGTAGCAATCCAAACACTTTGGCAGTAAACATATGCAATTTTTTTGAAATTGCATTAACTGTGTATAAAGTTCTGAGCACTTTATTACATCAGTCCGCGACGTTAGTGGACCTCTTTTATCCATATACTGAAAGTATACCATAAAAATTCTCGTTGTTTGTCGTTGTCGAATTGCATAATTCTTGCTCATGACGAAGTTAGTTTAAGGCTGTCTAGCAACATTGATGAAAATGAGGAGAAATTGAAATTTTTGCAGAAGACGAGTTTGCGATAAATAGTTTACGACGATAATAGATGCCTTTTTGCTTCACATGTTTCGTACAAAGATAAAGCTATCTGATTGGTTGTCGCATCGCAACTCTTCGCAAACATCGCAAAGTTGAGAAGATATTTGGCGAAGCGACGTTTACGGCTTTTACGAAGTTGACGTGAATACCCACATTAAAAACATTTACTTGCATACATTTATGTTAAGTGCTGATTTGTGCAAATGCAATTAGTGCAAAAGGCTAATTTGTGTACTATTAGGTGTATAATAAGAAAAGGGAAAAAATGCGATCGTAGAATATGCTACCATTTTGGAGCGTCATTACCTTTTTGCCTCTGGCGCCAAATTGACTTCAAGGGGCCTGATCTCCTCTAAAGTATTAATAACTCATCACACTGCGATTTAGCAATTTAAGATTTTAACCTTAGATTTTCAACTTTGAAAATTTAGTGTGGCCTAAGTTGTTGATATAGGAAGTGGAAAAAATCGTAATTTCCTAAATATGTTTTAGATCTTAAATCCATTTCCTTTCTTCTTATTATAATTATTTATTGGACAAATCTCGAACTAACCAAGGCATTCCTTAATTTCAACTGTTTTAATTACAGATGCACACCCTGGCAAAATTATTTGAGTGGATGTTTGATAACTCATATAAAAGTTTGAAGTATATTTATCTGATTACGAAGGATCCAGTTCCTCCGAGGGAGTTTGAGTTCAGCAAAACTTATAATCCCGTTCGTCCAACACCGAATCTTCCAATAATTGCGTCCGACGTTTGCACTAATATATACAAGATTGCATGGCAGAGGTTCCTGGATAAGAACAACGAAGATTTTCGCAAATCCGCGACACCAATATCTTTTTCTGTGAAAGCATTCAACAGAGCGCATGATCGCTCAATGACGTAAGATTAACACACGTAAAATACAATCATAAATCATAAGAGACAAAGAAATTTCTGGTAATTTTGCTTGTACTTTACTGTCACTGGAGTAAATGCAATACAAAAATTAGTGCTGGATTCGGAATCCCAGGAGAATTGTCATTATTTTTTGCTTTGGAAAATTGGGCTGTAAAACTACATACGCGAAATATATTTAAGTACAAAATTGAATTGGGTAAAAAATTTGAATTTATGTAGGCTTGTTTTAGCCGTAGAAGTATTTTTGTATTGAGGTTCAAATATTTTGCAGTTTGTATTTGAAATGCATGAGGGTGTCTTGCCCAACCCTGAAAAATATTGTGGAACGGAAAATTTCTCAAAATTTTGCATAATTAGTCTTGCATAATTCGTACAGAAAATTCTAGATCGTTTTCAACATGTAGCTTTAATATCTCAAGTGAACTATCTGCATATTTTGGTGGTAATAATAATACACATTTCTTAAAAAATAAATTTCAGAATTCTGAATACCAATGGCGTGTACCGTTTCGATTTGGGACGTGGGATTGGCATATTTCAAGCACCGTGCACAATATCAGAAGCTCAGCTTATACAGACACCATTGCATGATTTGAAATGTTTCAAGTTTATGGCGGTTATGACCTTCATTAAACCAAAATCGAGTCTTACGGATAAACAAAAACACGCCAAAAAAAGGGATATTTTTGTTAAGTTTTTTAAACATGAACATGTAGAAGCAGCAAGTGAATTCTTCGAAGAGACTAGAGAGCGGAAAACTAAACAGCTCGCACCCGTTAATCCATCTAAATGATTCATCCATCAGATAATAAGAAATTTGTAAATATAACCTACGGATAGACAAAATGTAACGTTGATAAAATGAATATAAACTTTTCTGGGTGTGTATAACCGAATTTGAGGACTTTGAGTTCACAGTTAGAACTTTTTTTCTGCTCATGAGAAACTAGAGATTCCTGATTTTGTGTAAATTTAAATGATGGTGGTGGAGTTTTGTCAAATATTCCAGTGGGGACAAAGAGGTTAATATTTATAACAACACATTTGTGTATAGAGATGAAATTTATTTCCTGATGAATTTACACAAACTTTCAACCACTAAATCTTGTAAAAATTTCCCATCTTCTTGTAAACGTCTTGATAATGAATGGCAGATAGCATTCGAAATATTGACAAAATAAAACAAAACTTTTTCTTCGACTTTTCCACTAAACTCCGTGTAATCCAATTATTTATTCCTGTGTTAAAATCAATACATACCGTCTTCTTGTTTTACCAATAGCTACCGAATTATTTGTTGGGGCACTTTGATACTTGGGTAATTTGATACATTGTGTGCTCACTTCCTCATTTGAGGCAAGTTGAGACATGCGCCACAATCTTGTGCAGAGTGTGTAAGGCTCTGACAAGTTACTACCTATGTAGATGTTATTTGGGGTCTGGGAGTGGCTGCATTTATACAGCAGGTCGGACAAATAAGCACTAATGTATTCTTACACTTCGTTTTGCAACTAAAAATAAATCGATATGCATAAATACAGCTGTTTGTTCAAAATTTGTTTGTAAGAAATACTTGCATGCATTAAATATTACCTGTTTAGCAACTACAAAACTGGACAATTGCATCTGCGTAAGATGAGTTTGGAATCTATGGCAGTGATGCACATTAGCCATGATTTGCACTATTCTGTGCTTACAAACATTGATTTGCCTGCTTCTACTGCGGCACAAATGTAATAACAATGTTAATTTCTTTAAATATGTATCTTAAATGTTAACTGAACCAACAACACAATTTACACATTACAGCACATATTTCTGTATATTAGGAATCCGTAAAAATTTCTTCTATTCGAAGATATCAGAATTATTAGGTGGACAAATTCCATGTAAGTTTATCATTTTTTATGCAATTCATGCATGTCCTGCGTCCTTCATGTTTGGCTTGAAGGAATTATGTAAATTAAAACTATGTAAACACCAACTATGTAAAGCGAAACCTAATACGTGAATGGAGTTTTGACTCGAAACTCATCCAGCATAAGTTAATTAGAGCTAAACGCGAGGGACATGTTTGCGATAATTATGTTTTGAAAGTTACTGTATCCAACAAAGTTTTTTCACTAAAAACTGGCTAAATTATAGTTGTTGATTAGTTTTATGTGCAATCCAGTGAATTATTGTGTCAGGGAAAAGTTCTCAAGTCAACTCAACCACTTTACACAATCCAGGACAACTCAAACTGCGTGGGAATCAGCCTAGCCACACAAGTAATTGAGAAAGTTAGGGAAAATAAAAAGAAAATGTGTCAATTTTCCAGTTGGTGATAAAACTGTTATTATTAAATTTAGAACCTATTAATTACTACCAGACATGCATTCAGATAGGGGAAGTTTATCACGATTTGTTACAAGTCGAATTTCTCGAATTTGTTTATGATTTTCGTGACGAACGCAACGCATCTATCCTGCTGCTGGTGTTATGGGAATTCTCTGCACCCGGGTGCAGAGAAACGAGTTTTGATGGAGGGAGGAGTGGGGTTCCTCCCTCCATCAAAACTCGTTTGCCAACAATATAAAGCAATTTTCGTTTTCTGAAGGAGACGAAACAACGTTTCGATGATAATAAAACCCATCTGTCGGGCTGTCTCAGTACGTCGACTGACTTGAATTCAGTCCAAAAGCGTCGTGGGGTATTGCTGAGTAAATCTAAGCAAAAATGAAATAAACCTTAGTAACGTTAGAAGTAGCTCATCCTGCAAAAATGATTTGATATAACTTTGCACTAAAGGTACTTTGCACTAAACTTGCACTAAAGCCGACAAAATAAACCGTAGTAACGTTAGAAGTAGCTCACCCTGTCATAATTATTTAGACAGAAGTTAGCACTGAAGGTGCAAAATAAGCCGACAAAATAGATCATGACTCTTATACATTCTTGCACCGATGGTGCAATACAAACGGGAAAATATATAAAATGTCGGAATTACTTTCATTTAACTTTAGACCAAATGTGCTGAATAACCGCAAGTATAAAATTTATATATTTTGGCGTCAATGGTGCAGAATAATGGAGCAAATAGATTAGAATAGAATTTTCAAATATTTTTGCATTAATGGTGCAGGATAATCGAACAAATAGAACAGAATTCTGACATGATTTTTGGGGGGAAATAGATGGCCCACTTGTTACGCATCATTGATTTTTGGGGGGAAATAGATGGCCCACTTGTTACGCATCATTTTTAATAACCAATTGCTCGGTACTAACGGTGCTACTTATTCCATAATTATAGTCCTATCTCGATCTATTTGCTGAATTAACTTGCACCATTTGCGCTCGGATTGTTCTATACCAATGGTGGGGCTAAACAAGTCTATAATGGACAAGGGGATTTTTAATCAGCATCAATTGATGCAAAAAACTCGCGGACGGACGGACGGACGGACGGACGAACAGACAAGAGGAATTCAATAGCTCCCGTGCTATGCAGGGTGAGCTAATAATTGCATAAGTGTTATACAATTTTGCACCATTAGTGCAGAATAATCAGGGAAATTAAATATACTATAATTATATAATTTTGCACCAATAGTGTAGGATAACGCGAGAAAATAAATTTTTGCTTTTGACATAATTTGCGTTAATTCGGCGTTTGGCACGAATGAAATCGTGATGTCAAATTTTTGCAATTATTTCTTCCAGTTACATATTCTACACTTTTGGTGAATTTTTCATCGAGTGTCCCAATTGTTTCGCATCATTTTGGACAACCGATTCTTCGATACTAACGGTGCGACTTATTCTACAATTGGTGTTCTCCGTCGATCAATTTCCCCAACTGATTCGCACCATTTGCATACTGATTGGCCAAAATTGTGTAATTATTTCTTAGTTATTCTGCACTTTTGGTGCGTTTTACATAGATGATCCCAATTATTTCGCATCATTTTCGATCACCGATTATTTGACCCCAAAGGTGCTAGTAATTCCAACATTGTTGGCTTTTCCCCAATTAATTTTCTGAATTGATTCGCAGCAATTGCGTCATGGATTGTTCGATACCAATGGTGCGATTAAGATGCTCAATAATGGACATGGGGATTTTTAATTAAGCACCAATTGATGCAAAAAAAACTCGTGAACACAAACAGACGGACGGACGGACGGACGGACGGACAAGAGGAATTCAATAGCTCTCATGCTACGCAGGGTGAGCTAATAAATGTGACGGTAATAATCAATTGAAACAATAAATTTCGCGGTGCAGGAAGAAATTGGAGAACTAACTTTTCGGAAGCTTTTTGACTTCATGCTGAACACAATTTATGAATTTACTTCGAAGAATTCAAGGGTAACCAATTACTGGTTGACGAGCCTATATGTATGTTCGTCAATAAAATCGTGAACAAATTGATGAAATCCGTCCTAAACTGAACACATAAATTTAATACCCAAATTTTTAAAGTGGCTGTAAAGTTTTGCACCCTATTTGTACATTTAGCAGGAAAAATATAGAATGCGGCATATTTCGACTTTACGGCTCATGCCAGTTGTGTAGGATAGTATTCCACACATTATGGCTAAATTTCGTAATTTATTGAAGACGCAACCAAAATTGGTGACGATAATCAGGGTGGCTGTAAAGATTTGCACCTTACTGTATGTATCTATCATAGATACTCATAATGCATCATGAAGACTTCAGATAACCACCGAATTTCAGAAGAGGAACCACCTCCATGGAGAGGTGAAATAAGTCAAGGGTTTCGAAGACTTCGATTTTGTCGAACCTAACAAGTCTGTTCAGGCTTTACTTTATAATCAATTAAATTGTCTCAACCATTCCTTCTGTTTAGGTCGATATATCTGCGATTCTGAAATCTGTGGCCGCTAAACGATACTACGAGAGATTTTTCTTAAGTTTACAAATTTGGTCTGCCACTGTTTAGAATTACAAAAAATCAGTTATGCAAAATTACAAGAAATTTTTTAAACATGCTGACAAAACCAATTTATTTACTTTTATATATTTAATTTTTTTTACAATGTGTATATGAACTACAGATAGATATTTATTATATTTTCTAACCCATCGACAAAATTAAGGCCACAATGTAATCAAATTTTTGATTATCGACAATGCGTGAAATCCCACCATTGTGCCGGATCCTGAGGGTTATACGGGGCCAAATGTACATCAATCCCATATTCGTTTGGGATACTGCCCCAACGAAATAGGTAATTATCATAAATAAATTACCTGGTTAATTAAAAAAAAAAATTGCGTAATTGTTACCCCGTGTAACTCATCGTATTATTGGAAGTATATCCAGTAGTATTCGTTATTGTCCAATACTTCGTTCCTGGAACTTGGCTAATTCTCCAATAGCATAAAGCCCCAGCACAATCATTCTGATAAAAATTCGATAAATATTCAGAATTTCAATAATAAGGGAATTCATTATGTAGCAAAGTTATTGAAAAAAGTATGCACGTCACAAATTATTATATTCTACTGAATTATAATGTGTTTAGAAGAATGTGGATACATTTAGCGGAAAATTATACATACATAATTGGCAATATAGAACTTTTTCGCCAAGATTTTCCAAGCCAAAAATGTTTGATAACTGACAATTTTTGCGACAAGATTTTTCGTCGTAATTTGTTTCCTGTGTTTCATTATCCAATGATAATTACGCCACTAATTTTTTACTCATATCTATGTAAAAATCAGGACAACTTAAGGCACCTGCGACATACTATAATATACCGTTGGTAGTCATACCTGCTCACATTCATTCATGCGACTGAGAATGAAAATGAATTTCCTGTGCTTTGAATAAAAATGTCGCGTCATTTCAGATGAATGATTGGGAATGAAAGGATTTCTCACTCCTTTCATTTTTCACCCCATGCATAATACATGGGGCGAAGTAAGAAATGAAGTCAGATGAAGTGAAGTGAAATGAATTTGAGTGAAAATGACTGAACGAAAATAAATGAAAATCTTCAATTCCAAGTCGGGATGACTGAAGTTTGAACGAAAAAAGTTTTTTTTTAACAGGTATGGTCGCAGGTGCCTTACATACAGGGTGGTTTAAATGTCAGGTTACAATGGAAAATTTTTCAATAGGAAAAATTCGCAAATCTCCATTAATTACTGAAATTTTGCCTCTGAAATTCAATATTTTAATAATTTTGTCATCA